ACAAAGACACATGCACCTCCATGTTTATTGCAGCACTGTTCACAACAGTCAAGATTTGGAAACAACCTAGATGCTCCACTACCAAAAATTGTGATACCTATATACAATGGAATATTATGCATCCATTAGAAAGGACAAAATAATGGCATTTTAGGGAAATGGATGGAATTAGAGCAGATTATTTTTAGCAAAGTAAGCCTAGAACAAAGAGACAAACAGCACATGGTCTCCCTGATATGTGGATGCTAAAGCCAAAATACAAGACGATATGGCAAAGTAACAGGACTCAAGAAACAAAGGACAGCCAACCATTGTGTCATATCATTGCTAAATGACTGTATGTTTTTAACCATATATTTGGTAGATATATGCACACAACAGAGGGAAGCCAGGAGGAGGAATAGAATAAGTGGGAACAGCCTACACTAAGGAAAAGGAAAAAAATATAAACATCACCTGATGTGGAAAAAAGAACTTGTATTGTCAAAGCTCATAGAATTCACAAACTGTATAGACCACAACTGTATAGATTCACAACTGTATAGCCTTGTGAAAGTTAAAATGTGTTTGTGACTCGAAAGTATCACTATTCCACAATACTGTGAAATATGTGAAATTTATATAATTACCTAATCTCAATTAAAGAAAAAAGTGAGAGAAGGGATGGGTTAGGAGAGATGGTTGACAATGTTGTCAGACACTTTGTACTCATATACTGTTTTTTTTTATTAACAAGTTTGTTTATTGTGAATATGCCGTACAGAGGGGTTACAATTACATGAACAAGGTAATGAGTACATTTCTTATCAAGCATTGTTGCCTCCTCCTTTGTTTCCCCTTCCCATCACTGCCCTCCCATCTCTCTCCCCACCTCTACCCCCCACCACAGCCAAAGCTGTAAAGTTCATCTTGTACATCTCATTGTTGCAATGGGTCCTGTTTTGTAGAATGGGAACTTCTTTGTACAGCTACTTAAAGATAACAAAAAAAAAGAGGGGAAAAATGAAATAAAAAAGACACTATGTTGAAAACAAACTTTACAATTTTGGGGGGTGCATTGGGGAGGTTGGGAGGAAAGGGATAGTAGGGGGAAAACAAAGGAGGAGGTAACAATGCTTGATAGTAAATGTACTCATTACCTTACTCATGTAACAGTAACCCCTCTGTACAGTATCTTTACAATAAAAAATATATATTAAAAAAAACTTGGAGGTCAAGTCATTAAAACATGGGAAGGTGACTCAGTGGTAGAGTGCTTTCCTTGCATGCATGAGGAAGCCCTGGGTTCAATTCCTCAGCATCACATAAGCAGAAAAAGCCAGAAGTGGCACTGTGGCTCAACTGGTAGAGCACTAGACTTGAGCTGAAGAGCTGATAGACAATGCCCAAACCCATAGTTCAGGCCCCAGGACCAACAAAAAAACAAAACAAAAACAACAAAGCAAAATAAAACATGAATTTGTAAGATGTGACCTTGAGGAGTCTCAGGCTGGACATGTGCCCCAGGTGATGCAGACATCAAGCAGTAAAGACAAACCCAGGCAGACAGTCTCCCATAGACCTCAGTGTCCCATTCTCCATGCAATCTCAGCCTCAAAGCAAGTACTTAAAGCAAGAGGAGCACTATGACAGACTGCTGGGAAAAGTAAACTAGGAGAAATAAAATCTTAATGTGATTAGAGAGGAAAAAGACAAAATCCTGCCGAGAATCTACGACATAGGAAATTATATAGCAGAGGTTTGCTTCTGTGAATTTTCAGAAAGAAATCAAGAGGTAGGAATGGGCTGATAAGATGTCACCCCCTAAATGCAGAAGGAATGAAAAATTCTAAGTTTTCAAGCCAACTTCTCCCTGTCCCAGTTTCACACACAAAAACACTATAGGAAACTCTGGAAAGTCGAAAGAAGGACTGGTTGAAGTAGCTGGAGGCAGAGATTGAGAGGATTATAGTTCAAGACCAGGATAGCAAAAGGGTCTCTCTCTCAACAAAAAGAATGACCATGGTTCACACCTGGAATCATAGCTGTGTGTCAGATATAAGTAGGGGGATCATGGTCCGAGGCTAGCCAGAACAAAAAACAAAAGAACCTGAAGCAAAAACGGGTGGAAAGTATGGCTCAAAAGCACTTGCCTAGCAAGCATGACACCTTGAGTTCAATCTCCAGTATCACCAAAAAAGCTGAAAATATCTTTCCCTGTAAAAGCAACTTATACATTTGTATAAAATTCTCACAAGAAAGCTTATAATTCTAATCATTAAATCTTAAATTCATAATCCTATCATTTTTAAGCAGGACTGAGAGGACTACCTTGCTCTATCATCATGACCCCTGGCCCTGTACACAACTTTAATTTTTTCATATATCACGAAGATCTGAGAAGTTGCCTAATGTACTCATACTAAACACTAATCAAGGTCTTGAGTCAACAGATTTAGATGTGGCCTACAATTTGATTTCAACAGGTATTTCCTGGTAATTCTGAAGTAGCAGCAGAGAAATTATCTGTAAGATAAAGTGACTTGGGGGATCTTTGAAACATTTAATCTGAATCCCTCATTCAACCAAGACAAAATGTGAGGCCTTGAAAATGAAAATTACTTATCAGGATCTCCCACTTAGTGGCAAGGATGGGCCAAGATATGAAAACAAATTACTATTATATGAGACTCTAAAAGAAGAATTTTGCATTTGTAGACTAATGCAGCAAAGTGTAAAAAAAAAATCAGATATGATGAGAAGGGCAAAGAACCTAACAAGATTGCTATACACATTTTTAAATTTGTCGATTTCTTTGATTTTAGAATTGCAGTAACAGAATTAAAAACTGTAAAAATACATTGCATACCTAATATCAAAGTAAGTTTTCACTCAATTCCTTGGCACTGAGTGTACAACATATGAAATTAACTGGCAGGGATAATATCTATAATAGGTGCCCATATAATGAATTAGCCAATTCATTCAGAATAAAATAAGATTATAAGCCATTTTAAATATCAGTAAACATCAAAATGATGCTTCTTTCTTTTTTTCAAGGCAATCCTTCTAACTGGAAGTTAGAGGGAAGACCTCAGAATACCTACCCATCCTCCAAAGACTAAAAGTCAATTTTGGGGGAATCTTTTCTCACAAGGCCCTGGACATGTTCTTCTCTAGGACTCTTCCTTTGTCCTAGGACATTATCCCTGCTGAGGGGCTCATGGTTAATCCCCTAATACTTTTGATCTCTCTTTAAATGTCATGTTCCTAGTCTCCACTTGGTTACCACACCCCAAAAGCCCTTGGACCCCTTTAAATGTTTATTCTCTGAAATTCTACATATGCAGTTATTTATTGTCTGCTTCTCTATTAGACTATAAACTATGACAGCTGGAGTTTTGCCCATTTTTTTCCCTGCTATATCCCAGTGACCATTACAGCATCTGTCACATAGCTGGGGAGTGGGAGGTGGGAAATCACTCAGTCAATATCCAACAATCACCAGCAGCTTCCATAAAGGTTTTGTTGCAATTGTGCTATCCTTGAGTGGGAGATGACAAGCTAAAACATACAGGGATCAGATCGGATTTGGAGGCTAGTAGAGAAGACTAACCATACAAAAACAGGTGTATGAGCAATTGCGATTATAGGAGCCCTTGAATATCTTATGATGCTCAGAAAACATAATAAGAATATCTAGGAGATATCAATAAGGAAATGATTGACAATAGCTATAACTCTTATCTACTGTGGTTTTTTTTTTCTTTTTGGGTCAGGTCGTGGGGCCTGAACTCTGGGCCTGGGCACTGTCCCTCAGCTCTTCAGCTCAAAGCTAGCGCTCTACCACTTGAGCCACAGCGCCACTTTCAGCTTTTTTCTTTTTGCTTATGTGGTGCTGAGGAAACAAACCAGGGCCTCATACATGCAAGGTAAGCACTCTACCAAAGAGCCACCCTCCCAGCCCTACTGTGGTTTTTTTGTTGCTGTTTTAATTTTGTGGTACTAGAGATTGAACTCAGAATTCAGAGCCTCATGTTTTCTAGGCATGCATTCTACCACTTGAGCCATATCTTCATCCCTGGTAAACTTACTATTTTATATGTACTTATTTGTTTGTTCATTTGTTTGTGTTGGCATTACTAGTGCTTGAACTCAGGGCCTCAAATTTGCTTAGTTTGTTTGCTCAAGGCTGGAACTCCCACTTGAGCCACAGACACAGCCCAGCTGTGTCTGGTAAACATGAATTCTGGGAAACATTAACGCCTGTGGTAGCTTAAAACCATAGTTTGAGAAGGTAGGATTGCAAGTGTGATTATAATGCCCAGTTTTAAATATATTTTGTATCTTAATACATTTTCTCCTCAACATAATCCACTAGTATCACTTTTCATAGATGAATACACTGACAAACTGAGAGGTTTTCCAAAAATAGTAAGTACTAGACCTGGGATCTAAACTCAAGACAATCTATCTGCAAAGGCCATAGTCTGGACTCCTGTGCAACCTACTTGTAAAGAAAGAATTAAATACACAGACAGGAAGGCATTTTCAAGTCTAGATAGGAGCAAGTTCAAAGTATCTGAGGCACGAGAAAGCACAGTGCACTTGAAAATGGAGAAGGCCACATAGCTAGAGCACAGAGATCCAGGGAAGAGAAATGGGGTAAGTATTGGAAATAATGGAAAGAAGGCATCAGCAGAAGCATGGGAGTCAAGTAGTGCTGACTACAAAAGAGCCAGAATAGGATGGATGAACCTTATAGAACCAGGTTGAAAGATTTTCATGTATACCATCCTAAGCACACTGATAAGATGGTGACAGTTTTTCAGGAGGGCCAAGAATGCACTTCAAAAAGATGCTACAGTATGCCAAATCTAGTCAGAGGGCTGATGTAGGATCAGCTAGGATTAGAGGGAGTACAGGAATGGGAGAAGTAGAAAAATTTAATGTATTTGGATTGTCTCCTCCCAATGGTGTTTCCCTAAATCTTGATTCCCTGCTTTTGAGTTAGAGCTCACCTTCTCTGACAGGGCCTCCTCTAGTGTGGCCAATGCAGTGTCCGTGTTGCTAGAATCCGTCTGCAAGGACTTCACTCTGTCTTTCAAGTTGGTCAGTTGCTTGTCTTTATCCCTAAGTTGTTCTTGCAAGTTTTCAATCTAAAAAACAAAGAACATCATATTTAATGCACATTGCTTTCTATATCCAGGGTCAGATTTCTAGAAGTATATTAAAAAAGACCTGATATTACAAACATTTTCAGTATTATAAAATTACATTTTGACTTATAATCAAGGACAGTTAATACTACCTTTAGTTTTCCATTAATAGTACTTTATATTCAAATGCAATATGTTTAAGCAAGCTATTACCTACCATACAAATGCAAGCCATTCCGATATAAGTACTATTTTTTTTTCTTTTTAAATTTTTTGTGACAGTACTGGGGCTTGAACTCAGTTTCCCAAGTACTGTCCTTAGCTTCCATGCTCAAGACTGATACTCTGCCATTTGCGCCACAGTTCCATTTCTGGCTTTTTGTTGAGTAATTAATCATAAAAGTCTTATTCCTGTATGGGCTGGCTTTGAACCACAATCCTCATCTGCCAGCCTTTTAAGTAGCTAGAATCATAGACAAGATCCAACAGCACTTTAGTCAGCTAGCCCTATGATTATCCATTTTAACAGACTTGGGTCTCACATTCATAGATCTGACCTTGGTACACTGAACCGGAGAAGTGTTTGCACAGGATTAGATCATTCACTATGCAAGCATTAAATATGGTATAACAAGTAGCATATTCATATATAGAAGAGCCCATGGAGTCATCTACTCATGCTTTCATTCAGTATGAATCTGTGATATCCCAAATGTTGTCAAGTGGCTGTTTGAAAGTGACCACATGAAAAGCCAAGTGGGTTATCACCAGCAGACTGTTAATGGGAAGAACTTGTGATATAAGTGATACATAACAAGTTCTAAACACTCCATTTGGCAACTAAGTCATGTGCTGGCACCCAACCAGCCCCTTTTATCCAGTGTCTGCAGCCTGAAATAAACATACCAAACAGACGATTATAACGCCTGCCTAGTGGCAACAGGAAGGACCTTCTCCCAGGGCTTGCGTCCATTATCATTCATGTTTTATTCTCTGCTTTCAAACCATGTATTTCTTATCTAAGGGTTTTAAAAAAGCCCCATTATACAAATAGTTTATTCATATTAAGGGTTTTAAAATGACAAGGAAAAAAAGCAGTACAACTCTAAGATAAGTCCATTCAAAATATTTGTATTCTGCCCCAGCTTTCTCAGGGAATCATTCCAAATGCATGTTTCACAATGTATGGCTCAAGCAACTTTTGTTATTACTTGATTCTTTTTGCATGAAGCTAGAATAGCAACACTAGTAGCAATGAGGAATTGAAGCAGCATCAAAATAGTGCTAAAGGCAAAGAGAATGTTTAGCTGGCCTTCAATCAAAAGGACATAAACTGATTTTTCCAATAGTTAGTAAGGATCGTGGCCAACAAAGATGGACTTTTCCTCCATTTTTTTCTTTCCCTCTCCCCTTCTTCCTTCTTTCTTTATATCCTTTCTTCTTCTGAACTGAGACAGATATCCTAGAAACCTGGGTTGTAAGTCAGCTAACCTGGGTTGTAAGATAGCTAACTATTTCCATCAAAATATAGTGCTTTCAAACATTCAGCTTACACTATGAGAATCCAATGCATCCCTTTGCATAATACAGGAATTCAAAGGACATCATTATCTTCAGTCAAAACAAAGGTTTTCTTCTCCCCAAGTAAGTGATTATGTGGCTACAGGATAACACAGGCAAATATATGCAAGCAAGAATATAAACAGAGATGTGTCACCATGAGAGTACTTAAAAAGACGAACCTGTCGCTGAAAGTACTAGCTTGTAGAGACAGTGTTCATTGTTATTCCGAATACATTCACACATACAGACACACTTTTGGAGAAGTACATGTACAAATACATTAAGCTTCCAAGAAACTGAGTAGACTCATGGACAACATGCCCGGATCAAGGAAAGAGCCAATTTCTCTCAGGGTATTAACCTGGGCAGTAATAAGAAATGGTAGTTAATAGGGATTATGGATGGGTGCTGCAAATGAAGCCAATGGAGTTCATGTGAGACTGCCAGGAAGCCCCTCAAATAGCCAGCAAGTCTAAGGATGCTAAAGATAGGAAATCCTCTGGCATGTATGGAGAGTCTGAGAGCTAGAGAAATGTGGGGAGACAAGATCTGGGGATAGAGCATATTGTATTTAAGACCCAACAGTAAAAAGCCAATGATATTATATCTAAATTTGGGTTGTGACACATTTATAGATGTGTGAGACATCTACTTTAAGAAATCAATAACAAGTGAGAAAAACAATATACAGAACAGTATGAGGAAGAGCTTCTTGTATAAATTTAATCTATAAATAGATAATATATCTGGGGAAAAATCGCAAGAGCTAAGGAATCAAAGAAGTAAGAGGAAACTTCTAGCTTTCATCATTTTTATATTTTAATAGTTTTCTGCTTGCATTTCTAACCAGATGGGATCTATTATTGTTAAAATGGTTATCTGGCTGGTAAAACTCTAGGTTGTTTTCAGCTTATATCTATATACAACATAGTAAACATTAAATTCATGAGTAAACAATAATTAAGTAAAAAATACAAATGTCTAAAAAAAACCCTAAATTGCCTAAGTGTTTTGATTTCAGTATGGGTCATGAGCTGGAAGCCAGGTCCTCAGAGTTGATGATGACAAATAAGGAACCCAGAAGAGAAGAGTCCATTGGAAAGTGATCAGGTCATCATGAATGGATTAAAGTGATTGTTTAGGTAGATCAGGTCTCAGGGGACTGGAATAGCTCTCCCCAGAGTGCTTATTAAAAAGAACAGGCATTGTCCTTCCCCAGCATCTCATCTCTTCTCTGGCATGTGGCCTTTCAGTGGCAAATGTACTATTACTATATGATGCCATCTGACATGCTATGGTATAGCTAGAGGGCTGCCACCAGAAACTGGTATTATTACCATGTTCATGCAACTGCAACACTGACTGAAAGCAAAATGCCTACAGAAAGAGCTTAGTCTTGAGGATTTTGTATAGCAACAAGAAAACAGTCTTATGATCTTAAGTTATCAGCAATTCTTTTGTTTGCACATTTACAGCCTGGGATTTTTTTACAAGTACTTAAAATAATGTTTACACTCCCCTGTACAGTATTTTCACAATAAAAAATAAAAATAAAAAAATAACATGTTTACATATAATTGCTAGCCTAATGAAAATTTAAAGATTTGAAGTGGGAAAGCAGTATATAAAATAATATTATTAAGCTGAGTGCTGTGGGTCACACCTGTAATTGTAGCTACTCAGGAGGTTGAGATCTGAGGATCTCAACTTGGCAGGAAAGACAGTGAGATTCCTATGTCCAGTTAACCCAGAAAAAAAAGCTGGAAGTGGAGCTGTGGCTCAAGTGATAGAACAATAACCTTGAGCAAAAATGCTCAGAGACAGCACCAACATCCTGAGTTTAAGGCCCAGGACCAGCACACAGACACAAAAAAAGTGATTCTAATTTTACTTTTAGCAATTCTTGCATAGATATTATATATATATATATATACATATATAGAGTACACACACATATATATGGTACACATTTAGAATATTTATTTGACAATGAGTTGACTTATTTTCTTGTCATGATTTTCTACATCTGCTATCTTGTTTTCCTTTTTAAAAATCAATAAAAAGACTTTCCAGCCAAATACTGACAACTACAAAATATCAAAATGACTCATTAAGTGACTTTTAAACTAAGATTTGCTTCTTAAGAACTCACTGTCAGAGGAAATTCTGTTTTGCTGTTCCAAAGAGAAGTAAACTTAAAGAATATATTTAAAAGTTAGAAGACTAGTAGAATATGAAATGTTATATCTTTTAGAAAATTATTGTTCAGTTTTATCATGTTCTCAAATTGTCATGACAATTTCAGAAAAGAATGTTTGTGACCTTTCCTTTTTTTTTAAAGGGTGAAGTTGTACAAGATTCAAGTAGTAGGAATTAAAAATGAGGCAAACTGAAAAATAAGACAGGGAAATTCAGAGATGGAAAGTAAGAATTGTTTTAAGAAAATGCACATGTTGCAAAATACAATCCGTCTTATTAACACTAACAATTCATAGTCACTAGGACTCTTAAGGGTCTAGCACATGGGATCTGCAGACGCACCCTGCACTTAACACTGAACAGAGTTGCTTTTGATCCCAGCTGGGGAGACTCAGAAGAAGCCAGTTCAGGAGCTGGACTGTATCTTTTAAACAATATCTCTGCCTTCCAGAGCAGAGCACTAGACAGAGTATGAGGCAAGGGGGAGGCACGGCAGAGGGGAGTCCAGACCTGGGGGTGACCCAACATCCCTAATCCTAATGGCTATAAACTGTCTCTGAAGTTCTTGCTTGAAAGCTTGTCCAAGAGTTATTCAGGCCATTGACTCCCAGCCTGCAAAGCAAGAGGAGGACAAAGTCCTCCATGAGAGATTTGTTGGATAAAAGGAACAGGCCAGAGCAGGTGATGGCCCAGTGCCTTCAATTCTGAGTCAAAAAAAGAATAAAAAATGAAAAGAAAATCACCAATAAGAAATAAAGGCCAATGGAAAAGGTTACATGTAGCCACATAACACTGCAAACATGCTAAGGTATTAATAACCTTAGCAAATAACTCCCAAAGATACCTTTCTTGGTTGTGTTTGGTTCATTTGTGTCTGTCTCTCTTTCTTCCTTCCTTCCTTTCTTTCTTTCTCTTTCTTTCTTTCTTTCTTTCTTTTTTGGTGTGTGTATGTGGTAATGGTGATCAAGCCCTTCTAAATGGTGTTGACTCAAAGAATACCCCAGCACTTCATTTTTCTATTTTATTTTTGAGATAGGGTTGCTATGAATTTACAATTCTCCTGCCTCCACTTTCTGAGTAGCTTGGATTACGAGTATAAATTACAACGCTCAGCTCTGTCTTTTCTTAACTTTATAAACTTCTGAAATTCAGTTACTAATAAAGTTGCTTTTCTCCAAATGCCTTAACTCTGGAATTTGTACTATTCATATTTACGGTATCAGTTAAAGTTATTTGAT